AGTGCTGCGGTGGCATCGCCGCATTTCCATGAGCAAGCCCAGTGTTGTTCACTCTTCTGGTAGAAGACCAGGAGGCAACGGAGGGAAAGAAAAGGGTTTCTGTTGCTTTTTGAGCTAGCGGACCCTGCACAGGAGTGAAGGTGCCATCGCAGCTGGTGCAGGGGGGCGTTTGGGGGCAGAAACCCACATTTCGGTTAGCTAGATCAGCTCTGCCATCTCATGGAGCTTCTCCCCAGAGCTCCCACGGCTCGCTCTGCAGCCTGCCACTGGTGTCCCAGTAGACTTGTCCAGCTTGCTGTTGTCTCCAGAGGACCATCATCCCACCCAGTCTGGCACAACCCACCGCACCTGGCAGCCCTCCTTGGAGGGACTCGGTACCACAATAGCATGGGCTGGGAAACACTTGGCTTCAGCTGTGTTGGCAGTGCTGGTTTGAGAAGTGATGCCCAGCCCCTGCCCAGCCCACAGCAATCTTCTGCCAGTGCCATTAGCATAGACACACCAACGAGTACCAAATGCCTCCAGAATCCGAAAGAAATGGGTCATCTTGCTGCTATGTGGCTCTAGTTATCCAAATACTGATCGAGATTGAATAGAAACATTAAATATCACCTGATGAAGTAAAAACCTCTCTAATTAGGTTTAAAAATGTGTAGCATTATAGTTTATTTTCCATAAAAATATGTAAATATTTTGTGCTCCTAAATAAGATTTAGTAAGTCATGTTACGTTTATATTTGAAAACATTCCTGCCAACTATACCTTGACATTTCAATGTCTTTCTGCAGCCTTACAAAGTAGGAAGTTGTGCTTTTCCTTCTTTCATTTCGTATTTGCAGTCCCGAGCCCTTTTCTGAGCTGTCATGTTTACATTTTCTTCCCCATCGCTGTACAGCCACCCAGAGCCTCCCTAGCTGGGGTCAGAGAAAGCGGCAGATTATTTTTTCTTTTAGCATGGTTGTATTTAGTTCATATGATGCAACGTTGTCCTCAGGATGTAACGGTCAGTTTGACCTCTTCACAAACACTGAGCAAATATGTGAGAAAACATTTTACAAGCCGTGAGAGGATTCTTGGGGGCTCTCAGCAGAGCAGAAGAATTTTCCTTGGCTGGCGATGGTGAGGACTGGACTGCGCCGCTGACTGTAGCAGCGTATGAAGAACAGCATTGTGAGCAGGAGAGGTCACCGTAGACTGGGCTCACTCACTGGTTTTCCACATCGTTTTATTTCATTTCCTTTTATGGAAACTTGAAAGGTATTTATTTAGGTTGCTGCTTCCTCTGTAGCCTTCATGACACACCTCAACTTCACATCTGCAACCTTCAGGCTTAAGTAAGGAGCGTGCACTGTGGCTGGGCTGTAAGCAGGGTCTCCTGGTTTCACAGAAGTTGCAGTATCCTACAAGGGCAGGGCATGGAAAGACAACATGTTGTATTTTTCATTTTGATTGTGAGAGAAAGGCCAGTTTTACGGCTTCCTGTAGATTAATGGATGATTAATGGAAAAATACTTGCAAGGCATGTATGTATTTGAGTTATGATTCCTCATTTGAAATTGTTATGGATACTAAGAATTGCTGTACATCCGTGGCAGAATCTGGTGTTTCTGTAAGCTTTGGTTGAGATGCTGAGGATCAAAAAATAGGGAATGCTTTTGAAGCTCAAGAATTATTTCTTTTTTTTGAAGAACTTAGGTGTTCTACTAGACAAAAAAAAGTTATTATTTTCCCCAGTACTCTTAGGATTTTATATTAGGAAGAAAAAAGAAATCAAACTCTCAAATCTAAGGTCACATCTTTTTGTGTATGGCATAGTATTTGCAATTAGTTAAAGACATTAACTTAAGCAAATTGGTTATTGTTCTACCAAAAATACTTTAAAGTTTGCTCTTTTTGTGATAGCATTAAAATTCCCAAAGGAATTTTGTATCCTTGAAATATTTTTAATCATGTGCTGACTTCTTATGACATGTATGAACTCGCTATGGCAAATAAAACAGTTCATTTGTTATTAACTTTAAAAAAATATATATTAATAACACGCCTTTGATACATTTCTGATAGATCAGTAGTCTGGCTCATTGACAGATGAATAGATTAGGGCACGTTGTGATTTTTATATGAAAGGCAATTTTACAGAAGAAGGAAGTAGACATTACCATTGTACCACGTCAGCCAAAATTGTAACAACAGAAAAATACGGTAGTATTAAAAAGAAAGATCGTTTCTGTCATTACTTGCAGCCCCAGGGCTGGTTCCCGGGAGTCCCTCTGCCCTGCTGGAGACAGAAGCCCAGCGGGACGTGAGCAGTGTGGATTGTAGCCAGGAGCTGAGGAATAAAATAAGATTCCTCTTTCTTTATTGCGAAGGGGTATGATCAAAGTAGCTCTGTTTCCTTCTTTCTGTATATCTCTCAGCTGTGTTTGAATAATTTTTTTTACAAGGCTCCTCCAGTGATTTAAATGAGCAAGGCTGTCATCTGTCTCCTTGCAATTTTTTGTCTCACATAAAAACCTTTCTGCCCTGAAAGATCTGTGTCCTGCTGGGAAAACATGCTCTTACTGGGAAATGTAGCATTAATGTTGCTTGGACTAACAGAATAACACTGCCTAGAATAATGAGATATCACCTTAGCTTTTCATGCTCAGAAAAAAACAAATTCTTGTAAGTCCTGCTAGCAACCGAAGAGCAGCTTCCTTCGGGTGTGTTTAAGTTTTATAACGACTAGCACACCTCAGGACGACCTTGCTTTTGCCCCACCTCTTGGTTAAAAACCATGATTTCACATCTCATGGAGCTGCATAATTATCATCAAGTAAAATCTCCCTGAGGGGATGGATGGTGGCTGGTGATTTATTTCACAAATTATGAATACATTAAAATAGGAAAGGCGAGCAGGTGCTGCAAATGCATCAGGACCCTCCAGCCGCTGTAATGCAGATCACAGCGACAGTGGTAAACGGAGACTGGAAAGGGGCAGTGCTTTCACTGCAGAGTAAACCTGGTGCTCCTGATGTCGGGAATGTGAAATGTGTGCCATTGCGTGGCAAAAAATTGTAGGTTCCTGTGAAAGCATACCTGGCCTTTATCTTAAACCTTGAGTGCATCAGCGAGGAGGGGGGGAAGATTTTTCTCTCTCATCCTTTAGCATTCCTTCCACAAATCAAATTTGAAGGGAATTGCCACTTCATTAGTTTAAATTAGTGCTGTCCCGGTTCTTTCAGTGATCCTACAGCAGTTTACCCTAAAAAGAAATATTAAAAATCTCTTTTTGACTAAATATAAGCTGTTCATGCGTTAAAGGTGCAGGATTTTCCACATGAATTTACATTGCTTTTATTGTATGGATGTTTCTCCATCCATATTAATCAAATATTGCATTCAGAAGGACAAGGAGGTCCCTGTTACGCTTCTGGATTTTGTATTGATACTTATTTATCTTAGGGAATATTTTCTGACTCACTGTATTCATTATTCCTGCAAAGAAACAATAAGCGTCTTTGTTGTGAGTTGATGTCCCTTCACCTTCGTGTAGGAGTGAGAAAGGAGGAACAGCTCTTGGTTGGGTGATACTAGTGTTTTTTAAATCTTACCTTTTTTTCCTGCCTTCTAATTAATCCATTAATCAAGTGGAAGCTGGCTTGGACAAAATTTAAAGTATTATCAGGACAGTATTTCCATTTTTTTTAACTCCAAGCAATTTATGAATTCATTGCAGGTCTCTGCAGGTTCTTATGAAAACTGAAAATACGTATCCCTGAAAACATCTCTGGTGGTGTCTATAGTAAGAGCACAATAAACCTTTTAAGAACTGCAATTTTTAATTCATGTTAAAAAAGCCAACTATCGGGATGATAGGAGGGCCACATTGGCTGTGCCACCTTACTGTGCTACCAGTCAATTTCTTAGTAATATTCATAGCATTGAGAATGGGGGGCTGATGAACTGTTGCCCGCTGATGTGTTCTCTATCACATTTTATTTACTTGATGAAGTATGGATTTGATTAGTCAATGGTTTGATATTGATGTGTATCAAGCCTATTGCATTATAAAAGCACGCATCTTTAAATAAGAATGAAGATTGGTTTTGCAAAGATGAAAGGATCTTATGTTGTCTTGCATCTTTTTTTTTTTTTTTTTTTTTTTTTTTTGCCCTGTACGTCTCTCTGGGTCTGCTTGCAGAGTAAGGGTCTATTAGACTAGATAAGGATAGTGGAATTCAATCCCACGTGCATGTATGTTTATTATTGTGCTAGAGTAAAGCTAGAAATGGAATACAGTTCCTCAGGGTTCAGTAGCTATGCCCTAGTCTTTGAAAAATGATAAATAGCTCCTAATTAGATGAACGCTAAATCAGGAAAATGATAAATACTTTCTGATAAGCCCTTTTTTCAGTGAGGGTTTACACAATAGGCTCAATTTTGAACATCTGAGGAATGTACAGAATTGTAATCAAAAGTGATGTATGTTTTTATATCAAGAGTAAGCCGTGCAAATTACAGCTTACGTTTGTTCATTCCAGTCATTGAATGAAGCAGAATAAAAAAGAAAATAATTGTTGTCTCAATTTGATTTATTCTGGCTACTTCACGTTTCCCCCAGGGTGTATTTAGAAGAAAGAAGAGTCTGAAAATAATCTCCTGAATATTTTAAATATAACTCAATATGAAAGTTGATCCGTGTGTCCGCCTTGAATCATGCAGTAATCTCAATATAATAATTGTGTTATTTGCAGCAAGAAAAAAAAATGTTTTACGCATTCTAGGACAAAATCACTCCCCCCCCCCCAAAAAAAAAAAAGCTTTCTAATGGTATTTAGAAGTAGATAAATTGACTGGTGGATGACTTTTAAGGTATTTGGTATAGCCTCAGCACAACTCTTTGACTCTGAGACGACTGTATAAAGTATGAGATTAAAAAAACACTTGTTAATAGAGAAAGGAAGATGCAGTATTCAACCTCTTTATTTTTTTTTTTTTTCTTCTTTCCTCCCCCACAGGACATTAATGTATGTATCCTTGAAAACTACCCTGAATGTTCCAATCCCAGATTATTTTACATCATCCCATATTTCTGTGGACAGCATCCAAGATGCAGGTAAATACATACAAGGTATCCCAATTTGTTCAGCAATAGCTATTGCCAACATTTTGTCAGAAACTGATAATAGAGAGGCAATAGTTACGTGAAGTACAAGAGAAAAGTGGAAGTACAATGTAGCGCTGTATGTGGTAACTCCATGCATGTATTTTCGAGTAAGGAGGGTAATGCAAATGTAGTACTATTCTTTTTTCTTGATTTAATTCTTGAATAATTCATCAAATCTGGATGTATTTATGTGGATTTTTCTTTTCTGGGTTGGCAAGGTGAAAATGACAGTGACCGTATGTGCTTGTTATTCATTTTACCTGCACTGTAATTTTGTAATACATGTTTTAGCTCTGCTCGGATGCTCGTATTGGGTCTATATTTGAGGAATTCCAGGTTTCTATGTCCATGTAAGAAATCGTAATCTTTCTTAAAACTATGTAAAGTGCAGCCGTCTACTGCTGTAATTGAGCAAGTTCATTTTTAATGTGACTATTTATGCCATTCTCATACTGCTGTATTACTGATACTGCACAGTAAACTTTTACGCAATAATACGTGAATAATTTTAAATACCTTCTTGTTTTCAAATACTGTTGTATTGTCGGTCACAGCATGTTCTTTATTACGTTTGTTCAGGTTCAAGGTGTTCTATTTCTTGTTACCACTTCTCTATAGTAGAACAACTGCACATGTTCTCAAAAACTTCTTTTGAAAGCCATACTTTTTTGCAGCAGTAATAGCAAGTGAAAATGTGTTCATTCTTATGTCTCAGTTTCTAAGTATCTTTGCTGTAAAATCCTGCTTTAGTTTTTTGGCACAAGCAAGGGTATGATTAAGAAACAAAACAGATTCATGACTTCATTTTCATTACACTTTTTTTTCTTAATGTATTTTGGCCTCATTTGCAAATGCTTAGGTTTGCACACTTGTATATATGAGTAATCCCATTAACAACAGTGACATGTCTGAATACTTCCACGACATATCTCTATGGGGGTTTCTGAGCACTATATTGAAGTACTGTTTTGTAGCTCGTTCTAGATGTGTCTCCTAGCACGCCATTGCACTTCCTTCAGCTACTTTCTAGTCTCACAAGGAGCTGCAAGAAGGAGGGTCGTAGTATTTGTTAGGACACTCTGCTCTTCCAGAAAATGGACCAATGCAAAGAAGGTGATAGGGAGTGAAAAACCTGCTCCAAGTCAGCTCTAGTGGGAGTGTAAAGCAATAAGCTTTTCCGCATGTCATCAGAGCTTCTGACAAATGTTGGAAGTTCATTATCATATAGAATTTGCAATTAGCCTAATGGAAGTCAGGGAAGAGATGTGATCTCCAGCCCCTTTCAAGTAGCCTGTGTGACTCCGATGTTCATCATACTAGCTGGACCCTGGGAAAAAGCTGATTTCCTTTAGTTTGGGACACTGGCATTATAACCCTTATCAATATGAATGCTGACTGCTGCTCCCAGGACATAACTTAATATGAGTTCATCTAAGGGACTTAGGATTCATATTCTTGTCAAACCTAATTGTGCTTCTTTGAAACTGCAAGAGAAGCATAAATACGTCCTGGTGTCCTGCCAGCTTCTCCCACTGGGGGAAAAGATAGAATAACCCTAAACTGAACTTCAAAACCAATATCAGTCAGAGCAAACAAATGTGAACCCTGTAGCAGAGCCGCAGGGCAGGCAGGGGTAATGGCAGGGAAAGGGAAGCTCATGGAGACTTTGGCAGAAATTAAAATGAAGGACAAGGTGGGAAACAGGCCGGTAGCCTCCTGTGTGGTATTCGCTGGGTAACAGCAGGCAGTGGTTGCTCACAGCAGTTCTCCTGATGTGGTTCAGGGAGACAGCCACCCCTTAGCACTTTCATCACCCAGGGAAGTCGTTCCTCCCATGAGATGGGTCGTGCTTCCAAGTTGAAATACAGGAGTTCACAAGTTTGAGCTTACAAACAACTTGGCGAAAGATGTCTTCAGAACGGAGTGCTTCCATGCAGTGCTTAACCTCCTTTTAATGTGATTGTGTTTTTACATGCCAAACCAATTCTAGATGTTATGCGGAAAAGCTCAGTAAGCCACTCAGGTGTGGTGGGGGGTTTTTTATGTTCTATTAGAAGTACAGCACTGAATATTTTTTGATTCAGTTGTGTTCTTGGCTTGAATTTCTGAAGTAAATGCATATTTAAACTGTTGGGGTTTTTTTTTTCTCTCCTCCCTCTCTCTCCCTCCATTAATTTCATACAGGGAGCCTGGTGAATGGGCCCTTGAAAGAGCAAAGCTGAACGTTAATGAAAATTTTCTGCTTGTGGGCATTCTGGAGGAGTTGGAGGATGTGCTGCTTTTATTAGAAAGATTCTTACCTCATTATTTCAAGGATGTGCTTAGCATCTACAAAAACCCAGGTAACTTTTTCCATTGAAAGCTATTCTTACAGAAACTTTGGCAAATCTGCATGGCTGTGGAAAGGTACGTGTTTATGTCTTGTTTAGTCAATGAAGAGATTTATCTCCCTTTTAGGGAGCAGATTTGATTGATGGGGAAGGATACATATTCTGCTTTTATTCACAAGGTTACTGTGTGGTTTTCATTCCTGGGCAAGCACTTGGTGCTGCAGTGATCTTGCCAATTGCCAGAAAGCTTCCCATTTACCACTGGAGTGGCTTTTTCTTCTTTTAATTCTGTCATACTCAGCTCTCAAATAATACCGTCAAAATATTCTCAAAATGGTGTCAGCTATATCTGCCTAAGTAAACCTTCAAGAAATGGTTTGGGGAGCTGGACAGTTTGGAGATTCTCCAGTACCAGGATATTTATTTTTCCCTCAACCTTGACTAAGAGCTGAAATAAAAAGAACCTCCACTTAAACTGAGTTTAGGTAAAGTACAAATAAGAATGCGTATTTACAGTACTTTAAGTACAAACCATGCTGAGGAGAAAGACTGAGGAGACTTAAGTAAAGAAATGAAAACAGAGAGCACTTAATCTACCCCTTAATTTGCACCCCACAGTCAATCTGAAAGGGTTCTCTTTTTCTCTGCGTCAGTCCATCCCTCCCAACACTTATTTATTGCTAACTTCTTTAGAAGACAGTCTTGTGTCCTATGCCTAAACCAAGAAATACGATGCTTCTGTGGGGCCGTGCATGTCATTCCAGCAGAACTGATTTCCTGCTTACATTTGGCTGGGTCATCAGCATCGTATGAACCAGGGAGGGGTAAAACTTCCCTTCTTGCTTGGTGACTTGGTTGCATTCGTGTCAGTGTGAAACGCCTACAGCCACTGAAATGTGTGTTTTGTACCAAGCTGTATATTAAAAACACATGGATCAAAGATTGAATTTTGCTTGTAATGCGTGCAGCTGATGGCTGGCTTTTGACTGAGCGCTAATCAGTCACTTTGGAGAAATTAGGGGTTTCTGTCCATAACCAGGAATTACGGGGGACTGTCCACCAATCCCTGCTTCCAGGATGCATCTTTGAATGCTTTTTATTTAGCAATGATACAGATATTACAGGGAAAGTGTGGCATTCCTCCTCTGAACGTGTCAGTGGGTCATTATCTGCTTGCAATAAGGCAGTTAAGGCAGCCATTTAGAAGGTGTGAGTGTTACTTTGTTGGGGTGCTATATCCAGCCATAGAGATATTTTGCTCAATAACAGACATAAAGAGAGCATGGTATGGTATTGACATGAGAGCAGTGCCCAGTTTTGAATCAGTTATTTCTTTTCTTTGCAAATTAAAAAATAAAAAGACCTACGTTTGTAGTATGTGGAAATCTTCCGAAAGGTTTGCACAATTCAGTCTCCAAGTTTTTCCCATGGGGATGTTAGACAAGAGGGAGGCAGGGGATCAATAGAAGGATGCTCTCTTTGCAATGAGCAGACTTTTCTGTGGGAATCTATAGGACTTCCTCAGCTGTTCTGTGCACCACAGATTTTCACTTCTCTTACAATGGGGGAAGCTAACAAACAGCACATAGGGTCTTGATTTTCATCAGGGTGCCCTAGAAATCATCAGGTGTGAAATAAGCAATCTCCCAGAATCGTTAAGTGCTGGATAATATTTCTCTTCTCTGTGTATATTCCAGTATCTGGGGGAGATTTGATCCCCTGTTTCAGGGTGGTGATTTCCTCTGGGATTTAATGTGTAAGACTGGTCTTGTGTGACATCTGAAGATTCATCTCTTTCCTTCAGTATTCCCTGTGCAGATTAAACTTTTGTTTTATTTTTCCCTCTTATGGACAAGGAAGAATAGAAAGGAAACAGTTTCCTTGTGTTAACTCTCTCCTCCTCTTTTTGTACATGCATATGTTTGGGGTTTTTTCCAATCATAATTACTTTCAGGTTATTTCTGAGTTGGTAATAATGATTACAAAAAACTTAACAGAATCAACCAGAAAGATTAAAAAAAAATAAAAAAAAAAAAATCAAGTGCTGTGTAAAATCGTACATCATTCTCTTCAGGGCACCTTAGACCTGATCTGCAACACCCTCTGCTGTTGCATGATGAAGTGCTGGGAAGAAGAGATGTTATTCTGCCCAGCCGTGTGGTGATCCCACAAAGCAGCAGATACTTTGGGCCAAAACTGACCTTTCATTGCAACTAATTCTTGCAGATTAAATCTATACAATGTACAGTTTTGACTGCTGACCTGCTGCTCCACCTGAGATACTCTTATGGCAGTCTTTCCTCTTTTCGTTTAAAGAAAATAAAGCTTTTCCAGAACTTACCTTTTATCAGTTGAATATATTGAGATGAGAAGAACACGGTGAAGGACCGTGTGCAGAAAGGTTGTTCACTTCCAGGTCAGTGAATCTCTGCACCAGAGTCCACTGCAATAAGCGATTCTGGATTAGACACAATTCAAAAATTTGGATTTGTAGAGCTGCTTTGAAGCAGAAAGTAACTGAAGGAAGGCAATTTCCATCCCATGTTGCTTTAGTGGATTACATAGATTAGAAAGCAGAGTAGGAAATTGGTGATTGCTGTCCCACCAACGTCATAATCTAAACCAAATTAAAAGCACCTGCCTCTTGCTGTGGGAAGCAAACTGCTGGATGTTATCAAACCCATAAAATCACGTGTGCATTTAAGATATGTCTGTGAGAGTTCTGGGTTAAACCCCTTCTTCTTCCTCCCAAAGTTGGGACCCTCCTCCCTTGTTACAGGTGCTTTGGGCGGGCACTAGATGACTACAGCTTCCATCCAAGCAAACTTTTTATTATCAGAAGCCTTCGGTATAGTTTGATGCTAATAGAAATCAGGAAATCCGGAAACTTTTTCTCATCTCTGATTCTTTTAACCATGCAAGCCGTATTCAAGCTGCTTGGTTCGTTCTGTGTCTGTAGTAAAATTTCTCATCTGAGAAGGCACGTAACAACATTTATTAAGGAACTCTTGCTCAGTATCCTCCTCCTAGGTAGAAACCAAAGCCTGTAGCCTTTTTACCTTCAAAAATACTTCGCTGCTATTTTTCTGAAGCAGAAGATCAGTAAAACTGTGGCTCTATTGATCAGATAGATAGTGAGACATTTACATGAGAGAGCACAGAAATGTGAGTGCAGGTGTCTGTCTATATACATAATGACACAGATAACTGCTTAATGCAATATGACTTGAGTGCTTTTGTCGGTGATGCTAATGATTTGTTTTACATAAGCTGGCAGAAGGAGATTGTGAAGAAAGTTAAAATACAAAAAAATTAAGAGTGAAACGCAGTTGAGTTGTTCAGACATTATCACTGTGGGATTTTGCGATTTTTAATATATTTTGCTTGCCAGCTGCTGTGTATTTGTTCCGTGCTGGCTTTTTCTTTTCGACAGGGTCACGTTTTGAAATGCACACTGATTTTTCTCAAATTGTGTCAGTTTAAAAAAGTTGTCAGTTCTGCATGACAGGAAATTTTAGTGTCAGAGGACACTAGGAGGATAATTTTCTTCATTGCCTTAATAAAAATGTTGCCTTCAGCTAATCCATATGCCAGATATTTTGACTTGTGTGTTTTATAACAACGTACAACAAAATGTGAAAGCTCTTTGTGGTGCTAAAGTTTTCATTGGAACCAATCTGGTTTTATCTTGTAGAATACTTTAGAGCTACAGGCTTCCTGTTTTTCTCCTTTTCCACTCTCTCCTTGAAATTAAGTATTTTCTTAATGTTGATACCAAGTCAAGAATTGTGAAAGGACTCTCTGATGCCTGTCTTGTCCAAAGTGACAAACTCTTCCTGCCTTGGCAGCCAGAAATGCCTTTGACAAGAGATCTGGGACGGGGGGGGGACGGGACGACAGATTGTTGAATAGATAGATGGATTGATAGATGGGTAGAATAAAAAGAATATTACTGTGTTTAGTAGATTTCTTTGCTAACACAGTAAAATTTGCTGAAAAATTTGTCTTTCTTTTTTTCCCCGGCACTGGAGCAGATAGGGTTCAATTGCAGAGCCTTGGATTATATTTACTTCAAAATTTGGAAGTATTCCTTAACTCTTTGAAAGGCCTGAAATAGTTATGGCATAACTTTACATGTAAAATCTCTCCTCGCTTTCAGGAGCACAACTGAAAGAAAAATAATTGGTCAGTCCTGTTCATTTTTGCTGGCTGTAGCTCACTTCCGTAGCCTGGCTGGTAGCCAGAAAGCAGAGAATACTTACACAGTTTCTTTTGAAACGGGCACGTGTGGGTTTCCTATCTTTGGTGGTTTTAAGAGGCAGAAAATACACAGCATACACAGTAAAACATACAATTTTCTTCTGCCTTGTCAACTTCTGTGGCATTGGGGTAAAAGTTAACAGCATCTAATGTAAAAGAATAAGCAATAAAATGTTTTTTATCGCCTCAGAAATAGCCCATATCCTCTCACCTTTCTGCAGGAGTTCATAAATTTTCTTTGGCACCAGAAGCCCTATAAAAACACCTCTTCCCAATACCAGAAAAAAATCTTGGTTTCTTGGAAGTTACATTTTGCGTGGAGAATGTATAGATCTTACTCTAAAGCAGGAAGACTGACAAGCTTTTCAAACCGTGGATTTTATTGAGTGCAATGAAATTACTCATGCTGTCAGCTGCAAGAAAATATATTGTTCAGGTAAACTGTAAAATGTGCTTCTTTTGAAAATGCAATACAAATGTGATTATCCTTAAGAATCACATTTACAGGAATGTTTTTAACTGTAGTAGTAGCAGCAGTATCCAGGGTAATATAAACTTGCTGATTTTTTAAATCCATTCTGTTCATGAATACTGGTGACACAGTCTTGACGCTTTCTATTTATGAGCTTCCCCTTCTCTTTAAACCCGGTAAGGAGAGAGATGCTGCCATTTGTCATTATTGCAAGGCTGAGGTCTTGTGAGGCAGATGGTGAAGCCTGCTTTGATGGAGTTAGGAAAAGGGTGGGATCAAC